ACCATTCCTATGACTCAAACGTGCTCCTGGTTATTCTTTGTAGCCCTAGCTGGCCTGAAACTTGCTAAATAGACCAGGCTGTCCTTGAACTCACAGAGATCAGTGTGTTGGGATTAAAGGAGTATACCTCCACCATGCCTGGCCAAATCTTTTTTTTTTAAGTTATGAAATACACATAATTTGAATGTGTATTTAAAATTTTTTATTAATATAGTGTTAAGATTTTAAATTACATTATTGTGTGTGTTATAACATGGCTGAGACAGCGCTCTTCTTTTTTTTTTTTTAAACCATTTGGCTCCCAGGATCTCAGTCAGATCTGCAGGCTTGGTTGCAAGTGCTTTTACTTACTGAGCCATCTTGCAGGCCCATACTTTGAGAATTCTTGATTTATTTGTTAAATATCTATTCTCTCAGATGCACAGATATTTTAAAAGATTTGACAATTACTAAGAATCAAAGCTTGTTTATGTAACTTCAGTTCAACCTCTACTATTCCATATTAGACTGCTTTTCTTATTTTTCCTTTTTTTTTCCTTTACTCTGGTGTAGCCCTTGGGCATGGGAGGCCACCTCTCCACTACTGAGCCACATCCTCAGCACATCCTTTATGTCCTTGCTCTGTGCCTCCCTCCTATCCCACCTTTCAACGTTTTCATTCCCTTAATGTGGATACCGAAGTCTCCTATACAGAGTGTTAGATTGCACAGAACTTAAGGACTCCCACCTCTGCCATTTGCCTTGGAATTACTATACACACCCTCAATGACTGGGTTTGAAACAGAAATGTAATCTTTTGAATAAGATCAAATTTTACATTGTGGCTAGTGCAGTAGTAGAAAAAGGGGTATTTTAAGATATAACTTAGTAGTGCACTAAAAATTGTCACTTTCCCTGTATCCTAAAAGTGTTATGTGAGTTAAAAATCACACAACCTTTGTTCCTTCGGAAGGAATATCACCCTCTATGTTTATAAAACTCTTTTATAACTATCAAGTACAGGTTTTAATGAGAAGTGATAGAAACTAATGAGTTTTTTACTAATGAGTAAATGTGGAAAGCTGTGCTCCCTATTTGTGCCCTTATCTCTTCCTTACACTGACTGCCAGGCAACTTGTTCTTCCTTCCCTGTGACATTTCCACAGTTTTATTATTTGTTCAGTTTGTCTTTCAAGGTAGAACTATTGGTGTTTCTGGGTGAGCCAGTGCACACTTTGTTTCCTTGTACATTCAGTACATACTTGTGTGGGGTGTGTCAGTCACATACCAGTATGTTTTGAATGAATCACTGAGATTTTCTTATGCGTTAATAATACCTTAACTGTCTTTATCCCCAAAAGTCCCACAGGTTTCCATTTTCTACTGTACCCAAAACAAATTTCAGACACTTGTGATGGAACAGATACATGAATTTCTACTGACAGTTCTCTTTACCTTAATTCCTGTGACTCTAATTTTGAGATAAGAATTCAAGTATTCTGAGTGAATACAATATGACCACAGTCACTGAAAATGCAGGGCAAACAGAAGCAAACAAAAGAAAATATATTTACTTTAGGCAGAGGCTTGGCAGGTTTGCAGTGGAGTCCTCCCACAAAATCAAAATTTGGTAAGGTGGGGTGAGGAAACTCCAGATCCCAGTAGGTCCTAATGAGCCACATGTCTGCTTTGCTCATTGTCTCATATAGAGTAGTGGGTCTTCCTGAAGGGGAAGAAGCAAAGTGAAGCATTGAGAGCTGACACATGACAGGTGTAAATGAATCTGCAGGCAATTTTCTGGAAGAACTTCTTTTTTTTCTTTTGGCCTTTTTGAGACAGGGTCTCTCTGTAGCTCCAGCTGACCCAGAACTTGCTATGTAGACCAGGCTAGCCTCGAAGTCACGGAGACCCACCTGCCTCTCCCTCCAGAGTGCTGTCACCATGCCCAGCCTTTGGAAGAACTTTCAATAAGGTAGCCAGAGGTGTTTAAAAGTGTCTATTTTTTTATATAAAAAAAACCTGAGGCTGGACGTCGTGGTCTCAAAAAGACCAAAAACAAACAAACAAACAAACAAAAAACTACCACCAACAACAATAAATTCTGTCATTGTGTGTGTATGGTTGTGTGCACAATGTATATATATATATATATTATGTGTACTTATGCTTAAGAGAATATAGAGTTGAAACATGAGAGACTTGTGAAAGGAGACCACATGCTAAACTCACATCTGTGTTTAAAAATTATTATTTGTTGTTAATTTTATTTTTTATTTTATGGGTATGACTGTTATGCCTGCATGTATGTAAGTGCAACCATGTCATGTGGTGTCCGTGGAGGTCAGACGAGGGCTTCAGATCCCTTGGAACTGGAGTTACAGACGGTTGTTAGCCACCATGTGGATGCTGGGATTTGAACCCAGGTTTCCTACAAGAACAGCAGTGCTCTTAACGGCTGAGCCACCTTACAGGCCTATGTATTTAAAAATTATTAAGTATCTACATATGGTATTGAAAGTATAAGTAAATAATCAGATACCCATGAACCCTGTCTGTCATATTCATGGAAACACCATTCCCTAGAATATGCCATTTTTTTGCCTAATATAGTTCTTTTCATTATGGTTTTTTTTTTTTTTTGGTCTTTTTGAGATAGGGTCTCCCTGTAGCTCCAGCTGTCCTGAAACTCACTCTGTCGACCAGGCTGGCCTTGAAATTACAGAGATCTGCCTGCTCTGCCTCCCGAGTGCTGGGATTAAGGTGAGTGCCACCACACCCGGCTTCATTATGTTTTTGAGACAGGATTGTCATGTTGCTCCAGTTGGCCTAGAGCTTGCTATGTAGACCAGGCTGCCTCCATCTGATGGAGGTCTACCTACCTCTGACTTCTGAGTGCTAGGATTAGCTGGGATGAAAGCTGTGCGTCATGACCCCTGACTTTTTGTTTTATTTTTAATTTAGAAGATAGAACTTTAATGCATTGTTCTCTAAGTGAATGGACAATTTTGCTTTGCTTTGAAATAATCTAATGGAGCCCAGACTGATTTTGAACTTACTGTGTAGCCCAAATTGACCTTGAACTCCTGATCGTCTTGCTACCACATTAAAAGTGCTGAGATTTCAGGCATATGCCACCACACCCAATAGGAACATTTGAGGGGTTTATGTTTTCCATTTTCATTTTGGTACAAGGACTCACTATATGGCCCTGATGACCTCAAAAACAGATAAGTGAGTACACTTGTATTTCTTGTTTTGATTTCTTGTTTTGACTACTTTTGATTCACATTTAAGTTTGTAGTAATTAGGTATTATATATTTGAACATATTAAGGATGAAGATGTTTTAATATATTGGAAATGTCTGTTTGCTCTATTATTTTTCTTTAATGAAGAGACAACTTCAAAACCCTACAACCAATGGAATGGGGCAGGGCCCAAACTCAGAGGAGAGAAGGGTGGGGAGATGGGAGGGTGAATGTCACTGGGGGAGTCAAGTTTGGATGGTGGGATGGACTTAACCTGGAGAGAGGCTGCAAGTGGGAGAGAGGCCTGTGGCAGTTGGTGCAAGCCCAGGAAGCAGAGGTAGATCAGCATTACACATTTTAAACTAAACCCTCAGTGAATAAATACAGACTCTCTAAAACCCTGAGTTCATAGGTTTGCTAGGATAGAGATACTATATGTTACAACTGTGAAGAAATTTATTAGGTGTGGTGAGAATATATTTTAAATTTAAATGAATAAAACCTAATCTACATAAAGGAAAAGACATCCTCAATACTGTAAAAATAACTGTGCTAGAGATGTATGTTAAGGCCTCAATGTACAGGTCTGTCACCATCAAGATATTGAGTTTGGATGGTACCATCCCTGGGCAGGTGGCCTGGGCCCTAGAAGAAAGACAGGTGAAGAAGCCATGGAAAGCAAGCCTGTAAGCAGTCTTTCTCTATGGCCTCTGCTTCAGTTCCTGCCTCCAGGATCCTGTCCTGCCTTGAGTTCCTGTCTTATAACCTGTAAACCAAATAAACTGTCACCTCCCACAAACAAACAAGCTAGCAAAGAAGCAAACAAACAGACTGTTAGGGTCTGGTGAGATGGCTTAGCAGGTAAAAGCATTTGCCATGCAAGTGTTCCGACTTGAATTCAATCCCCATGCAGGCCGTGACCATTGACTTCACTCTCTGGAATCCAAATAAAGGTGGAAGAAGAGAACCTACTACACAAAGTCATCTTCTGATGAGCACTGGAGTCATGGCACACATGCTCCCCACACATCATGCAAAAGTGGGTGAGTTCAAGTGCTTGCTCAAGTGTGTGCATGTGTGTTTATAGGCACACACATGCTTATACGCACAGAAGAAAACAACAATAAATACAGACAGGTAAAACTACTGTTTAAAGATGAAATGATTGGTAGAGATGGCTCTGCAAATAAGAGCACGGTTCTTCCAGAGGACTTGGGTTCAGTTCCTAGCACAGCGATCTGTAACTCCACTTCCAGGGGAACCCCAGCCCTCTTCTGGCTTCCAGAGGGTTTGCACAACACGGGTGCACTTACATACATGCAGGTAAATCACTCATACACATGAAAAAATAAAGTATAAAAGATGAGATAAAATAACATCAATATAAGATGGATATGTAGTTGCTTAGAGCATCAGAGCTGTTTTGTGAATGTGTGCCTTTGTGAACTGTGTTATGCAAGTGATGGCCAAGGTTTGCTGACACTACAACATAAGCCTTTCAACAGTGCTTTGAGTTTTGAAAAGTTTCACAGAGCTTTTTTTTTCTTTAAACCATTAATCAAGAAAAACAGATCCCTTTGATTTTTCTAGTCTTTTAACCCTGCCTTCAACAGCACAGCAAATTTAGAACTCCCCAGTAGGAAATGAAGACAGTACATACCTAGGACTTCACTGTAAAACTGATTCCACTTCTTCTCATTAAATATTTGGAATGAAAAATCAAAATAAAGCATGTACATTACATTTTTCACCCTTTCCAGGAACGTCATCTGCTCACTGAGTTCTGACAGAACAACAGGCACATAGGAAGGAGGCAGTGGGAGTCCGCCACTGTACTTTTCATATGTGGATCCAGGAAAGAAGCGCAGAGTGAACACCAAGGGTATCTTGAGAATCTCAGCGAGCAGGTCACCGCAGGGACTGAAGTTATCTGCTAGGATGACGTCAAACTTGGATTCTTGTAATTTTTTCATAAGTTCCTTGTTCAAAACTGCATCTTTACAGAGATTCTCAAAATAATCTGAATACATCCAAACAACTTCTTGCAACATTAAAAAGTATTTCCAAAATGGTTGTTTGGGCAGTTCATAAACGGTTTTCTTAAGTGTTGCCACAAAAACTTCCTCTAAGTCAGAAATGGATAATGATGTCGGGTAAGTCTCAAACTTAATGGTAGATGCCTTATCAACATCCAGAGAAAAGGAAGTTGAAGGTCTCAGAACAGTCACCTCATGACCCTTCTTCTCAAGTTCATCTAGGATTGTCCTTAAATTGTACCAATGGCTGAATTCCACCGGCCACACCAGCACCTTTCCACAGTTCCCAGAACCAAAGAAACCACTCAGCTGCAGTAGGAGCAGAACTGCAATCATTTTCACAGGCATCCTGGTTAAAGTCAAAGCTTCCTCTCAGGTCTTGCTGTTCTTGCTCTGGTCTTGCTGGTATCTAAAAACAATTGTTTAGTTAAAATATAACTTGTGCAACACCAAAGTAAATACATGTGAAATATCATAGTGCCTGGATGCCTAGAGCAAGCAGCAAAAGGCAGATATGAATGTCATCAATGACTCCTGATCTCAGTGACCCCCACATGTAATGTGCTTGTGATATGAGAATTGCAGAATGTGAGATTTAACCAAAGACATAACTGTGGAATCAGATTCTTTATATCACAGTCCAACTATTATTTTCCATATGAATGCTGCCAACATCTTGACCACATACCACACAATTTCACTATCTTAGGTATATGATTCAGAGATCCAGAGTATAATCTCAAAAGTGCAAACAAATCACTGCAGCCAGGTTTAGAACAGTTTGTATCCCACATAAAAGTCCTATATTTTGGGTTCTTAAAATTCATTTTTTATTTTTTTTATTTTTGACAAGAGTTTTCCTGTAGCTCCAACTGGCCTGGAATTTGCAATGTAGACCAGGCTGTCCTCGATCTCACAGAGCTCTGCCTACCTCCCTGCCTGGGGAGTGCTGGGATTATAGGCAAGCACCACTATATACTTTTAGTCCTTCCATCTGTTCCTGTTCTAGCCAACCATCTGCTTCCTTGTAACCAACCTGTCTGACAGTAATGGATATATTCTAAAGAGACCCTTGTGGTCCCCTTTGGCTATCAAGAATATCGAAAGAATGAATCCTGAGACATTAGAATTCCTCCAGCAATCTTCTTCTGGGAAAAGAAATGCCAGAATCTAGAGGAGGATACCCAGAGGAGGAACTTGTTCCCTGGAGAAAGATTTACAGTCAGTCAGAGACCTTGCAGGATAGATTGACTTTACAGGAGAGACTGAGATCTGAGACCATGGTGGACTGGGGCCATCACCTTGACTGGACTGCTTAGTTAATGCATATCTCTTGGTCTCTATTTAAACCTACCCTCATGTCTGGATCCTGAAGGTGGAAGTGGGTGGGGGTCCACTGGATCTCCTTGCCCTCCCCAATGTGCACATAATGAGTAAATCTGTTTTTGCTTTTCACTATAAACTTGGCTCTTTTAATTGGTTTATTGAGGCTGGGTGGCCGAACCTGGCTTGTGTTCTTCATTTAAGTGCTATTATTATAATGAGTGGAGTTTTGTGATTGGCTTTCATTTATATGAGATTTTAAAGAATTGTCCATACTATAGTAGATGCAGACATTTGAGTAGCTGCCAAATTCAATTTTGTAACATGGATAGGTCACACTTAATCATTTCTAATTTGACACCTGGCTTGATCCTATCTTTTGATTACTGTCAATGCGATTTATGGTATTCTGTATTCGTTTTTCTTTTTTCAAAGGAAAACACCCTTTGACTTTATTCCTTTGAGTTCACATATTTATTCCAGATATCACCAAGAATAAAACCACTTGTTTAACTGTCATCCAGGTAACGTCTTCTATAAAGGGCTCGCTGAGTTAAGCCTCGGCGCACCGTGGGTCAAAAACCCTGTGCTCTCCCACACAGTCAACCTCTGCAGGAGCTCCTAGGCATCAGACAGCAAAAGCGCTAGCGAGGGAGCGGGTGCAGGACTGCGGAAGCCGGGCTCTGTCTCCATCCAGCTGCAAAGCCCTCAGAGCCGAGCTGAGTTTACCGTGACACAGACTCTCCCGGGAGCCAGGAACTAGACGGCCGGAAGCTGCGCGGAAAGAGGCGACGAGGAGCTGGACGGGAGCGGAGCTTCCCTGCCTGTGGGACACAGGCGGGCCAGAGCGCTCCGGAAGGGCGCGGCCGCCCGGGTCGCCTAGCGTGACGTCCTTAACAGGCGCGAGACCCAGGCTGGGCAGCCCGAGGATCCTATGGTGTCTCCCATCATTCTTTGCCTCATTGCCTTGAGACAGGGTCTTTCACAGAACCTAAAGTTTTTTTTTTCCTAATGTGATCTTGGGTTCTGCCTGTCTCCATCCCTCAGTATTAGAATCATACATAGCAATTTCTGACTTTTTATGAGTGTGCTGGGGGTTTCAGTTCAGTTCCTCATGCCCAAGACGGATGTCAGCTCAAGCCAGACAAATTCCCAGCAGAAGAGGTAGAGTAAGAAGCCCCAATCCTAGTTGAAGAACTGTTGGCAACCGATAGCTGCTGGGAGAGGGTAAATCGGTTTTCTTTAAGTATGTGATGCTGAGTAGGTTGGCCAGGCTCCAGGGAATGGACGCACACTGAAGGGCATTTGGGGGCACAAACTCCATAAGCCATAAAAATAGTAGAAGACATGAAATCCAGTGGGGAATGGAGATGGGGAGGGGGGTCTGAATAGGATCAAAATACATTGTATGAAATTCTCAAAAATTAATTAAAATTGTAAAAAGAACAACAAAAACATGTCTGTTTAACTGTAGCTCATATAAGTCTTGCAGGATTACTCTATTCTTTTACTTCTGTTTTCTC